ATAATCGAATGCCCTAACTCTTGCGCTAGCGCCTCTGAGAATTGGAACGCACATATGAACTACTCCCGAATTGTGACGGTTGAAATGGCGAAGGATCTGCATGACACGTTAAGAAGCATGAGGGAAGAGTGCATTGTGTTGAATCAAATGTAATTCTTTTTCTCGTCGTGGTAATTCACTCCGCCGTCTTCGAGACACCGTAGACCTAATCCAGTCATCACAAGTACCAGGTAGTAAATGATTAATATTGTACATTGCTCATGTCATGCCTGTAACTCCCCCTCTATATATATTGACAATACCCTATTCATCATTTAACACGTAGCACCTTCGCGGCGAAATCCTCGATCAATTGCTCAGTCGGGAAACTCATCTGCTCAAGGCCTTGGGCGTAGGGGGTAGGGACCTCAGCACCGGTGATTCGTTGCGCGGGGGCATCCAAGTAGTCGAAGGCGTACTCCATGGTAGTAGCGAGAATCTCAGCACCCATACCGGCGAAGGGGAAACCAGACTCAACCGAGATGAGTCGGTGGGTCTTCTTAACGGATTGAACAATGCTCTCAATGTCGAGAGGCTTGATGGATCGTAGGTTGATGACCTCAGCATCCACACCGTACTTCTTCTTGAGCCCCTCAGCTGCAACTAAGCACTGACCAACGGTACGCGAGAGAGAAACAATGGTAAGATCCTTGCCTTGGCGCTCGATCTTGGCCTTGCCGAAAGGAAGAACGAAGTCGTCCCTCTGCGCAGCCTCGGACATGGGGAAAGTTTGACCGTACATAAGTTCGTTTTCGAGCACAACAACGGGGTTAGGATCGCGGATAGCAGCCTTCAACAGACCCTTGGCATCCTCAGCAGACCATGGGGAAACGACCTTCAAACCGGGAATCGAGCCGTACCAGGCACTGTAATCTTGGGAGTGTTGAGCACCGACACCAGCGGCGAAACCGTTGGGTCCACGGAATGTGATGTTACAGGGCTGAATACCACCGGACATGTATAGGGTCTTGCCGGCGCTGTTGACGATCTGATCGATGGCTTGCATGGCGAAGTTGAACGTCATGAACTCGCACTATAGGTTGCATATCTGATTAATCCACTATTCTTCTTTCTGATCTGACTCTTGGTCCGTTTGCCATTCTACTCACAATAGGATGTAGACCACTTAGGGCAGCACCGATGGCCAAACCACAGAAACCACTCTCCGTAATCGGCGTGTCAATGACTCTCTTGTCGCCGAAACGATCTAATAAACCTTTTGTAACTTTGTATGCTCCGTTGTACTGGGCGACCTCTTCGCCGAGAATGAAGACCTTGTCATTTGCTTCGAGCTCCTCAGCCATGGCCTCGTTGAGTGCCTCACGGACAGTGTAATCTTTCGTTCCCTTGACATCGGCGAATGTCCTTCGCTGGGAGATGGCGAAGGAAGTAGGTGCGAATCTGTTAAGAGCTCGGGGAGCTGTGGCGGTGCGAGCAGAAGCAGCTAGGCGAGCTGCCGGGCGGAGATATCGCGACATCTTGACCTTAGTGAGGGCTTGAGTTGGAGGTTGGAGGAGGGGTTAGGTAGGAGAAAAAGAAACCGACAAAATCCAATTGGAGCCAAACGTCCAACTTACAAGAAGTTGGTTGGGTTTCCGATTTGCGGTTGGCGGTTTGCGGATTTTGGTGACGGATGACGGTGTTTGATTACAAGAAGGGTTAAAGAGCGATTTTCTCCGTCAGCCTTTTTTTTGGAGTTACCATCAATTCGCGGTTGTCTCCCAACTTTTTTTTTCGGATGGAATAGGAACAGCTTGTTGAGGGTAAGAATTGGCTAAACCATATCGGGATTAGCGGACTACCCTTCCGATATGATATATAATATCGGAGCCTTGGAATCTCCATCCCATGAATTTTGAAGTGCGCTCCTCTAATACATATAGCCACCGCACTTTCTCTATTAATTGTCAGTTGCCAATTGAATCGTTCAATTTGGCGATACATTCACAAGGATAACTTTACCTGGTATAAACGTTAATCTGTTTTTGCAGCTCTGGTACGTGCCTTTTTCTACTCTGAAGATTTCTACCTTGATGGGCGCTTACCTAATTGTTAGGTACTTACATAGTACATATCTTTATTATCTCGGACGTCGATTGGGGATTTCTCCGTTGGGGGTAATCCGTATGGGTCTATTTCTGGCATTTTCATCTAAGCTGACTTGGTTGCCGTTTTCCTTTTACTCGCTTTCAGCACCACCCACAGGGAGCACAAGGTTATTTCCATATTATTCTATTTCAATGATTTTAGCGCCATATATATAAAAGGCTATCAAGTGTGGCCAGTAGTATGCCCCTATCTCTTATATATACAGAGAAGTCGGAGCCATGGCTCTATTATCCTAGATTCGGCCTTCTAAGACACTTTCATTTGTTTGGTATTATTAATTTTAGAGGACATTGACGTTGCGTCTTGACTCATTACTATGCTTATAAGCACATTGCTCATCTCCTTTAATACATCTCCGTGGAGTGAGATCATTGCTCAGGCTTCTTGCCAACCATCAGGTACATCGGCGTGAAGAGATGCTTCTCTCCACCAGCGACTAGACAATCGCCAGCACGGGCCAAGCTGTCTGCCGTCTTTTTGGTTCCAGGAGGGGCCAGGCCGGTAAGCTCTAGAGCGCCAGCGAAGTTGTGGGCCAGCAGACGACCCCACCAGGTCATGCGTGCAATGGTAAAAGTGTCGAATATCGATTGCATGTACTTCCACTTGCCAGCGAGTGGCCAGTACCAGGGGATAGGATCGGGGCGGTCAGCTAGGTCCTCATGGTGCAACAGCTGGAAGCCAGCAATCTTCATGGCCTCTAGGCCCTCTTCGATCTTTACCATGTTGGAGATACCGTCTCCCTGCTCAATTCCGAGACGGATCTCGCGGTGTTCGAGGTTGTCGTTGTCGTACTCGTCAGTCATGAGCCACTCGTACACGCCGAAAACACCGCCGGGCTTCAACACGCGGAAGATTTCGCTGTAAACACCAGCGAGCTTAGGTGCGTGCACCGTAGCTTCGATGGCATAAACGGCATCAAAGCTGTTATCGGGGAATTCCATTTGCTATTGGCAACTGAATTAGCATTCTGCGAACGTAGTGCTGGTCCATCCACAGCGGGGTGCGATCAGACTCACCATGAAGTCACCCTTAACAAACGCTACTTGGTTGGACAGACCCTCCTTAGCAGCGTAGTGAGTGGCACGCTGAATCTGGTAGTCGTTATTGTTCAAGCCGGTCACATGGCAACCGGTGAACTTGGCAATCTCTCGAGCAGGACCACCAACACCGCAACCGACGTCCAGGACCTTCATTCCCTCCTTGATACCAATTTGATGTGCGAGGTAGTGTTCGTGTCGGGAAATGGCTTGGTAGAAGGTCTCACCGATGGAGTATCGGCAGAAATGGAAGGATTGGCCCCAACCATACTCGTACAGGTCCGTAGCGAGGTTGTAGTAACTAGAGAAAGTGTTAGTATGGTAAGAAACGCGCACAAAAATGATAGAAAAGTATCATCAAGGGTGCGACATACTGTCTGGTCAGGGTAGCGTATTCGGCGGTGCGCTTGGCGCGGTCCTCTTCAGTCTCGTCCTTGGCGTCCTTGTTATCCCAATGCTTGAAGTACTCGTCAACAGCAGCTTGTTGCGCATCGGTGCCCTTGCCGCTCTTTCCGATCATAGCTCGGAAACCTCCCGCGTTCATGGCGGCATCCCCGTGCATAGCCTTGTTGAAGGCGGCATCGCGAGCCTTATCCTGCTTCTCGAGCGCGATCTTGGACGGCATGTTGAATGATTGACAAAGAAAGATAATTGACAATTATTAAAGAATGCGATCTATTACAAGGACTAATAAAGGATCTATTAGGGACTGACGAGTGGAATTGTTGGTTGAAGAATCAGAATCGAAGTAGGTGTTTGGGTTGTCGAGAAAAGCATGAGATGCAAAAGGGGTCTTCGCCGACATTTTATGTTAATATTATTTTCTGGCTGTCTGGTCCCTTATCGACAATTGATTTTTGACCCACAGAAATCTAGGTAAGGACCCTTCCAATTTCTTGGCCAATTTTGTATCATAATACTAGTATACAAGAATTAACTTAAGCTTTTACTAGTTTTTGGCCAATCAGACCTCCCCAAACTGCTTGAGCTGCACATGCTTGCATTAGAAGAAAGCGGAGACAGGGGTAAAGCTTCGACCGTTACTTCCACTACCGGAACAATGCCATAAGTCCCCTGAACCCGAATACGAGCGCGACAAGCCACGGGAAAATATGGTGCAGCGTCGTAATGTGGCTGGAATTAAGTGGCTACAATGGCTACAATGCCAGCATTGCTAACGCTAACATTTTCACCTTTTCACCTTCTCACCCAGACCTCCTGAATTTCATCGTCATCTTCAAAACTCGAAATCCGAATACGAACTCGCATTCTTGAATATCGTAATGGAATATCTCCAAGATATAGATATAATTTCTATTAAGCATCATCCTTTTATGGATCTCTACTCCGTCCGCCTCTTTGCTATGTAAATAGTAATCTCGTTTCCATGGCTAGGTATTTGACGATCTCGAGATGGGGAAGAGAAGGGTCCGACCACGGGAATAATCAAAAATGCCTCCCGCTACCCGCAATCACAGGCTCTATGCCTCAGATCGTTTTGCACGAGAGCAGCAGAAATAGACTAGTAGGGTGGCAAGCGAAAGAAAGTAGTTGACTCTTCTGACTAAAATCTCACAAACTCTTAAACATGAGCTCAAAATCAAAGCCATAGTACACAGTTTGGTGCTTACCTACGTAAATAGATAGACTGATAAACTGACGTTCCTAATTGGTGGGATCTCTTTCTTTGATATGGTGCATTGGTGCTCACTAAGGACGAAAGTACTAAAAAGGAGAAAAAGCAAAAGAAGAATAAAAATTTTCAGGAAAAAGAATACAAAAAGGTGGTATAGAAGGAATTTAACCTTCTATTGCTGGACTCGCGGGGAATCGAACCCCGGACCACTCCCATATCAGACAAATCCTAGACACGAAGCTATCATGAGATATCTTGTAGATCACTGGATTGATCATGCTAAGGGAGTATTATACCACTAAACCACAAGCCCCTGAGAACTGGAGTGGGTAGATATTCGCTTCATCTATCCTAATTCGCTGAAAATTGAGTTGTCCTAAATCCTGTGATATTTTCTCGACAAAGTCGTAGAAGACGCTGCCGATTGGTGCGTCTGTGCGTGTCCACCGCCTCCGTCTGAACTGAAAGCTAGGATCCACACACACCTAAAGAGCACGGAACACCCCACAAACATCGAAGCAGGTTTGCCAGGGGTCCGAGCGTCTACTCTTAGGAAATTCTAGATCTGCCCTCGATCTAATAGATAGATACAGCTGTACTGACGACATCCTACAAAAGCCCCGAGTTACATCTTAACTTGAGACCATTCTGTGTGATACTAAATCCGTACTATCGCAAGATAGAAAGGTTGTTAGTCGAGATGTTCATCTTGCCATTCATTATATTCAACACTAGAGAATGGTTTAAGGCGTATCTACCAAGTCCACTTCCACTTCTTTGCTAATTCTACCTGGTGCCCGTCAGGTGTTTCCTCAGTCTTTCCGGTCACTACTTGGCCATCTCCGTGTTTCTCTAGATTTCTGTTGCTAATTAGATACCAAATGCTCAAAACTACGATCTCTACAGCAACCGCAGCGGCGAGCACTAAACATGCTGTAAAAGCAGTGTGATAGAGCGGCGCGTCTTGGGTTCGGAAAATCTGGCTTCCAGCAATACCGCCGGCATTGGCGCCCATCACAATCATTCTGATATCAAAGTCAGTTACATGAGCAGGTAGAGGTAGGTGTGCGAGAAAGGGAACAAAACTTACGCCATCGCAACGCTCCTCTCCTGCGGCCTCCGGCAGTTCACCGTCAACCACCCGACGTTCAGAATGTGAACGGTGGAATTCATCGACATCGCGAAGACCACCGCCGCGTACTTGCGTCCGGAACCCCACTTGTACGCCTCGCGCAAGCAGGCGAACGCGATGATACTCCACACGGCCGAGATCAGCATGGACGGCGCGCGCCGTCTCGTGGTGTCGCACACCCAGGCTAGTATCACGGTGACGACGGCGGAGATGAAGGCGCCCACGCTCGCCATCGCGTTCGCGCGCACGGTCCCGTACCCCAGGCTCTTGATCACGGAGGGCCCGTACGTGCTGATGGCGCTCACGTGCGTGATGTTCGTCAACGTGATGACGATGTGCAGCAAGATGCGCGGGTTGCACACCGTGGTCCAGATATCGGTGCCGGAGATGCGCAGGTGGTTCGTGGTCTTGGCGGGGTCGTCGAGGAGCACGCGCCGCACGAGGATGTACGACTCCCGCCGGCTGAAGTAGGACCACCGCCCGAAGCTGATCAGGGGGGACCCGTTGCCGACTTTGGGCGGCAGGAACAGGATGAAGAGGATGCCGACGCCGATCGTGATTGCGCCTTCGACTATGAAGAGCCACCGCCATCCTGCGATGCCGTACCGGTTACCCATGCTTAGGATGCCGGCGCCGATTAGGGAGGTCGTAGCGGAAGCGATTAGGTTCCCGAGGAAGAAGATCGAGATGCGCAGGCTAGATTCGGATTTCTTGTACCACGTCGACATGGTGTAGAGGGCGCCGGGGATGAAGCCGGCTTCGCACTGCGTATTGAACGTTAGCTCCCTACTAGAATGTCCGGGTGTGTAGATTCAGCACCCACCAAGCCCAGAAGTAAACGAGTGGCAAGATATCCGCCATAATTGGTGATGAAATTTTGGAAGGTAGCCACCAGTCCCCAAGCCAAGATCTGGCATGATAGCCATTTTTGAGGTCCTATACGTTGCAGTAGGATATTTGAGGGAATTTCCAAAAGCACAATTCCCGTTGACAACAGACTGCTCCCAACATTGATCTGGTTGGTGGTAATCTTGAGATCTTGCGTAATCGTGCTCGTCAGCGCATTCGAGATATTCCCTCTGTCCATCTGCAAGGAGAAGAACGCCAAGCCTAGGATGGGCAGCAGAATGAGATCGAGCCTGGGAATTGTTAGAGTTCCTCAGGTATATTTTCTTAAGAATTGAGCTGATATCTTACTTGCGCTTTACGGCACGCTCTTCTGCCTCAGTCCAATCCGCCACCGCCAACTCATCGACATTCACAGGAGCGGCCTCTTCATCGCTATGGTCACTAGCCTTTAACGTAGGCTCAAAAGACTTCTCAACACTCATTTTGAGACCTAGTAAATCGCTTCAGGAAGACGATAGCGGAAGGTGCACGAAGATCATTTCCAAGGGTTCGGTACGCCGAGACGCATCTCCTTAAGTATCATAATTATTTTCACCATATAGCTATAATAGCTAACGGTCTCAACCAATGAATTTCGCATGACGCCGACTCGCCGGACGCAAGATCCGCAATCGATCACCAAAGCTCATCTTAGTGCTCGTTTTTACTTGGGCTTTCTCCATATTGCTTGCGCGGTGCTGCGACGAGACCCTGCAAGCCACGCTGACGTGCTCAGCGATAACATTGCGTGATCGTCTGATAGCCCTCGGGACCCAATGAGCTAGCCCGGAATGGCCAGCCGACACGCACGATCAAGTTGATGAGGGAACATTCCGCTTGATATCGCGGTTCAAGTCAATTCTCTTAATTTTTTTGTTTCAATTGATTGGTCGCCGAGTATCGTGAGCTGAGAATGTTCCACCTTATCCCCAATCCAACCACTTTGACGTCGGGCTATCTGACCCGTAGCTTGGGGCTAGCATCACATTAAAAATCAAGATCACGGCATTTATTCCCCGTTTTGACGCCAGCTAAGAAGGTAAAAGTTGTCGCAAACCAAATCCACTCATCACTCGGCCGAGGAAATCATCGTCTACATATTGATGCATATATAATCGATCATATTGTCCGTACTGGCAAGAGTTACCTATGAGCCGTTATCACAACACGACATTCATCGTATAATCGCGCAATGATTTCAGATCATGGAGTCACTATTATGAAGTAGGTAAGTTTCTGATCATTTACTTTACTATCAAGGAAGAGGTAAGATCTCATATGCAACACCGGCGAAACCGTTCGCTACTAGACAGCTTGAGATAGAAAGAAACATACCTCAAAGCAAAATGGAAACTTATTAGGTACCGAGGTTGTCAACGCTCATAAATTCAAGTCTACAAATCGAGGTGGATATCTAAGATGCGCTATAATGAATAACAAACCAGGCACAATCTACTTGAACTGCTCGAAGCGCTCCTTCTCCTCAACCCCCTTCGCAAGGAAATCCACCGTCCACTTCCACAAGTCCTCCTGCTTCACCTCATCATAGCTATCCTTACTACTCCTAATCTCCTTGACTCCCTCAAAGTACTTCCCACTCACGCCCTCGACATCCTCTCCAATCGCCAGTCTCGCCAGCGCGGCCCCGGATTCCTCCGGACGGTGTATATTCGGGGAAATTGCCACCCGCAGCAGCGGGATGACCTTCGGCAAGACGTGAATCCACAGACACCTGCTGACCGCACTGGCCTCGCGCGCGAGACCCGTGCCGGGCATGAGACCGGGGTCGAACGAGGTGACCGTGATCCCGCGCTCCGGCACGCGTTGCTTGAGCCGCCGGTCGAGCGCGTACTCCCAGAGGATGTTGGCGAGCTTGCTCTCGACGTACCGTTTCCGCCCCGGGTCGTCGACCGAGGCGCCTGTCGGGTGCGCGAGTATCTCGGCGCTGACGTAGTTCGGCTTCGGCATGCCGCCGGTCACTTGGTCGGGGTCCCGCTTGAGGTGATGACGACGCGGGCATTAGGAGCGAGGTGCGGACATAAGAGGTGGAAGAGCAGGGCGTGGCCGACGTGGTTGATGGCGAAAGTGGATTCGAGGCCGTCGACTGTTTTGCTCAAGTCTCCTGGGAATTGAAGACCGGCGTTGAGGACAAGTGCTTGGATCGGCGGGTAGTCTTTCGTTGCCCAGTCTTCGGCATAAGCCCGCACTTTTTGCAGGTTTGAGAGGTCAAGCGGGATGTATATCGTGTTGGATTGTCCGAGTGTTTTGTTGATTGTGGCTGCGGCGTGTTCCCGGTCGGTTCGTGATGAGATTACGACGAGATACTGTGGATGGGCTTTTGCGATCTTAAGCGCTGTGTGATAGCCTAAGCTAACTGTACCTCCTGTGACGATTATAGTTCATTGGTAAGACATATTTTTGTGACCCTAGAAAAGACATGAATTATTTGAAGCTTTGGATTTTGCTGGTGGTGAAATGGCAACAACTGAAAGACGGTCTGTACTGATATTCTACGAATTACGGTAATATGAACGAGAACAATTCCTACTTATATACCTACGCTATGCTCTCTTAATCTGCTACGAGGTGCCGTCGCCCACGGAGCCCATCATGACAGATAATACATGGTTGCCGTCTAAATTGGAATTATCTCCGTGGGACAGGTGCCGGGAGACGCCGATATATATGAACTTACTGAAGTTATACCGGAGTTAAGTAACGCAAGGATTTTCACATAGGGGCACCCACTATTGGTTCAAATTCAGGAGAAAATGCAGCAATGCGTTTTGACGCATATTTAGCAAAGTATTTGCGCCAATCGGGTGTATGAGGAATAGAAGAGAGGGCATATAACTCCGGCCTTCAATGACGTCAACTTCATATATTCTTCATCAAACGGGTATTCATTCATACAAAATTTAGTTGAGTCGACCTTTAGTCTACTAGGTACTTAGCAAGCGACACCTAATCCATACTAAATCGATATTGAATGTGTGGAATTACAGACTACGGGACAACCAGGTCCTGATCATCATGACTTTGAGGTTAACTCCCACCCCGCTTTCTTTCCTACGCGTTTTCGGTCATTCTATTCCGCCATATAATCTCACATCCAACGCCAGCATCCAAAGTAAGCCGTTGTTACACTATCATGAGATTTTCCCTCCTCCCAGCTTGACTGTGTCCATCATTGAGTCGCATCTCACAACAGTAGGTGTCGTGGAACCCCAACGGCGCTATCCCAAGTACAGCACCACTCATGAGGTGTTATGTATCAGCCAAGGAAAGGCAAA